GAATAAAGCCAGACCATTGATTTAATCTGAAATATTTAACCTCCTGTTTATTAAAATACATCCTGTGTATCTCAGGACTTACAAGCGGTACAAAAGCATCAGTGATGAACTGAAGCACTCGAATTTATGGTAACTGAAAGGCAGCCAAATAAGGGATTGTGTTATTGTTGATCCTGATCCCGGACAGCTCAGGTGAACATTGGAATGATCATTTTAGACAGCTTCAGTCTTTGAATATTCCATTATGGTTGGTCAATTTCAGATAATTTGGGGCGGAGGGCTGTATAGTTTACAAATAAACAATAAAAAGACCTATTATGTCTCCTAAACATGCTAATCCCCACAAATGATGGGCAAAAGAAACAAAATAAAACCCTTTGACAAATTTTTAGACTTTAAGCCAAATAATCTACTTTAACTAGTTCTAGAGAATATTTGAATCCTTTCATTTAAGAGAGAAAAACTGTTTTGATTCATAGGTTCTATAGTCAGGCTCAAAGCATTCTTTGCTTTTGTTGTTCTTGTCTGGTGCTGTAGCAGCCTCTAGTGGAGAATGTCATACCAACTTCATTGTGTGGACATGTTTTTCAGATACAAACCGGTAGGGGCAAGTGTGAGTTTATCAAAAGTCTCTATTGTAGGTAAGGTCTTGTGCAAAACAAAATCTATTCTGCTTTACAGTCTTGTGGGAATAAAAGAGGAATGCAAACTGGAGTCCTTCAAAGAATGATGGGACACAAAATGACATTTGATCTATCAGTTCACTGTGATACAGAACATTATCTGTATCATCTGAGTTGGTCTTCTGAGTTGAAAAGGCAGTAGAGTCTCTATCATATGATGTCTGAAATAAACAGGCTGGAATAGGCTTAGACACACATTGTACATACAAAGCAAGCCTTTTGAGATTTCATTGGATCAGGGGCCAAACTAGCAAAAGGAGATGGATATCCATATATAATTAAAAAGTATATGGGAAACTAAAATGAAATGATTATTAATTTTAGTTGTAATGGATTATTGAACAAATAAATACTAATACCTGCTTTCTTCCATACCTCAATACTTCCATACCTGTTGACTTCCATACCTCAAGTCTCAATTGATAAAGTATGTGTGACAAGAAAAAAAACACTTTTACAGACATCTCCCATTCAACTCTAAATCTCATATATAGATGAAAAGAGATACCAAAGAAGACAGGAATTACCACTTTTTAAAGAGGGGGTGGTTCATAAAGGGAGTTGCATGTGTCCTGTGGGCTGCAATTTTTTCACTTCAGTATAATATGATCATCTATGTTATTCACATAGTGCAATGGGATTTCTGGCAATAGATTAGTTCCTTTAGCAGTAAGACACCTTCTTTTAGTCGAAAGAAAGGAAAGATGGTCCAGGTATAAGACATCTAGAGTAATGACGCTCAGGAACAAAAATTCCTTGAAATCCTATTAGCCTTGTTCCCTACCCTCACCCCAAAATAGCTCATTGGCATTGATTGATTTGATTTAAAATAACCAAAAAATAAATTAAAACAAGTAATTGTTTTAATTTATTATAGTAATTTAACAAGTAATAAAAACTTATTAAAATTACTTATTATTTTTTATTTGGCAGTAGCCAAAAAAAGCGAATAAAATTCTTGGTTGCATGAACAAGGCATAGAATCAAGAACAGGGAAAGCATTAGTACCGCTTGACAAAACCTTAGTAAGACCACACCTGGAATACTGCATCCAGTTATGGTCACCATATTACAAAAAGAATGTTGAGATTTTTGGGGAAAGTGCAGAGAAGAGCAACTAAGCTGATGAAAGGGCTGAAGACTAAAACATATGAAGAACAGTTGCAAGATTTGGTAGGGCTAGGAAAAAGAAGGACATGATAGCAGTATTCTAGTATTTGAAGGGCTGCCACAAAGAAGAGGGGTCAACTTATTTTCCAAAGCACATGAGGGCAGGAGAAGAAACAATGGATGGAAACTAATTAAGGAGAGAAGCAACCTGGAACTGAGCAACTTCCTAGAAGTAAGGAATTAACCAGTGGAACAGGTTGCCTACAGAAGTTGTGGGTCCTTCATCACTGGAGCTTTCTAAGAAGAGACTGGACAGCCACGTGCCTGAAATTGTATAGGGTCTCCTACTTGAGCAGGGGGTTGGATTACAAGACCGCCAAAGTCTCTTTTACCTCTATTCTGAATTGAATTGAAAAAAATAAAATAAAAAATTTCCTGAAAGCATAACCCTAGAATAAGATGACCCACCAGTCCAACATCCATTCACCCAACCTGAGTGGAGATATCCAAAGAAAAGCATCTCTACCAAAGGGGGATCCAGCCTTTGCAGGAGTCCACCCTCCAAATTCATGGCCACCCCGCCCCTTTTTGACATCTGTATTACTGAGTTGAACTCCCCATCCCACGAGCTATGGGAGAGGGCAGAAGAGGTCCCCCACCCTTTAATGATCCAATCCCTGATTTCATTTGAACAGTGCCTGGCCAGACAAAAGGCACAATTTCATTTTGCTGTGAGATTTTCTGTGGAGCCAGGAAGGATCCCTGCACTTTGGATCATCATGCATGGGGAGGGGTGGTAACCAGGTGGGATGTGGATGTGGAGTTCCGTCCACACAGCCTGGAAATGTGGATCCCCCACCCAGTTCTCTCCTTTGGTCTGGTGGCTGCAGAAATAGGTGCAGTGTGGGGCTGGTGGTCAGATGGTGTATTCTGCTTCAACTCTCCCCCCCCGCCCCCTGCATGACTCATGCCAGGGCAAAGCTGAAGCGGTGCAGCGGTGGGTAAATGGTGAGCATGCTCAAGCAGGGTGGAGCCCAGTGTCCTCCATTTTGTTCCATTTAATCTTAGTCAAATACAATGATCTAAAAGCCACTCTCTTGGTTTACTCTCTTTATGTTAAGATCTCCAGTTGACTTTGAATGATTCTCTTCCCACATACTTCCAGTATTTCCAGAACAGTTTTTTCCAACTTTAGTTTTTGTCAATGTTAGCAACTCTAAGATGCATGGATATCAGCTTCCAGAATTCTGCAGCCCATGTTCTTTTACGTTTCTCTGTCTTTGTATCCTTCAAAGTACCCGAGTGGTTTTTTATTTCTTCAGTATGCATTATTATGGAGTCACATGTTTAAATCACATAGATTTAATAGCCACTTCTTTGCTGGTATAACTCAAGTCTATCTTTACATTCCATTCTCTCATTCAATTGCCTTTCTCCAGCTGCCTCTTAGATCTTTGTTATTGCTTCATATACATATGCAAGATTGAATATCCAGTTGGAATTTCTTTCCAAACTAGCCTTTTCTCATTCTGTTTAACTGCAGTGTTACAAAGGTGACCAACCGTCCTCCTTTAGGGAGGACAGTCCTCCTTTTGTAAGTTCTGCCCTCCCTCAAAAAGTGTCCTCCTACATGTTCTCCTTTTTGATATTTGAAGACTAATCTGTAAATCTCTGTATTTGATCGATGCCAATCCAATCCGTTGTGTGTGATGTGAGGTATTTGTATTTGACATGAAGATTCGGCAAGGCTCGGTTCAGTGTGGCGAGACACGATTATGAGACGCATGTGCTCCACACAGGAGAATTGTTTTCAGAGAGTGTGCCACATGCAAGAGTGTACCGTGCGCAAGAATGCGCCACCCGCAAGAGTGAGCCGCACACAAGAATGTGCCACACACAAGTGGCTTTGTTTTTTTTCTTCAATTTATTTGTGTCCTCTTTTTCGTTGTAAAAAAGTTGGTCACCTTAGTGTTACTATCTAATCCAGACATGTCAAACTCAAGGCCTGCAGGCCAGATCCAGCCTGTGGTGTATTTAGATCTGGCCCACAAACAGACTAGTAGGAGGAGGTGATTGAGTAGTTACCTCCTCACTTCTTCAGCTGTCTTGTCAGTGGCAGCAGTGCTACCAGAGGACGAGCAGCGTCAGCGTCTCCAACACATGGGTCGCCAACAAGCCAGCATCCTTACCATACACAATTGGAAATGGGGATTCCCTTTTGAGAAGGACCAGCCTCTCTTGTGATGAACCAGGGAGCACTGCTCCTCTACCTCCTCCTCCTCTTGCTGTTCAGAGATCTGTCAAGGCAGAATTTGGACTCTGAACCTCCACACGCAGAAGCACCCTCGGCCTCCTGCTTTGCCTGGACAGCCTCCAACATGGCGCTCCACCCTACCCCCTCCTTCTCTCCAGAGATCGGTCAAGGCAGAAGAGGAAACTGCTTCCTGCAAACTTTCTCCTCTGTGCTTCCAAAGACAACAGGGGCATCCTCCACCTCCTGCTTTGCCGGGAGGGGGCACTGGACAGGGAATTTCCAATGCCTGGAATTGGAAGAACATCTACTTTGGTGTGCTGTGTGCACGCATGCACATGTACCATTCCTCTCTGGATAAAAGTCCCCAAATTTGGACTCCAATGTGTGTGTGTGTGTGTGTGTGTGCACGCGCGCGCATACACACTTCACTGACAGCAGTTGGGGAGATGAATTTTTGGGTCACTGAGCTGTCTTCACATTGAGTTAGCTGGTGTGACTTGTTCCGTCCTAACCCAGGTGTCCAGTCAGCCGTGCCCAGTGAAGAGTGTTGAGCCGGCCCACCCAGTCATGGCAGCCCAGCTGTGACCACCCAGCCATGCCTATCTGGCCATGCCCACCTATGGGTCATGTGAGTTGTCATAGTCTTACATATAACTGGCCCTTTGAGGGCAACCATGATGCTGGTACAGCCCTCAATGAAATTGAGTTTGAAATCCCTGATCTAACCCATTGAAAACGATTTATTTCCTTATCTTTATTGTATTCTCTGTATTTAGAACACTGCCTATTTTAAAGATAATTTAAGATGCTCATTTTTTATTTTGGGTAACTTTGATGGATATTCTATTGCATCTTTTAAAGAAAGCTTTGTTTTTTGTGTTTAATTTGCTTGTGCTGATGGTTTTTATAGATATCCAATTCTTTCAAACACCATGTAAGCAAACAATATTTTAATGAACAAATAAATAAGTGCACAAGTTTACAATATGACACCTTCTGTTCTTATTTCTAAGGAAACAGCTAATTAGAATGATTAGGAAGATTTCATCTTTATAACAAATAAAGATTCCTCCAATTAAAACCTTTCTTCCAGTGAAGAAAACACCAACATTTAGTGTTTTGTAGTGCATTAAATATAACCATAGTAAAATACATTTTACATGCTTTCACATGTAACTGTTCACAGGTATGAATTCAAGACATCATTGAATTACATTATGAAAACTTTCCACAGGTATAGCATTGAATAAAAAATAAAATACAAATATAAATGACATTTATAAAAATAGTGTTTTGGCCTCTGTGTATATTCTTCTTTCATCAAAACTTTGAAATTCTTTCACTTATAAATATTAATAAAATATTTCTGTTTATATTATTAAATAAATGGATTTTGTATGAATCCTTATTTCACACATGAAGAAGATTTTGTTCCTTTTCAGTATCTGTAGCAACCTCTTTACAGTTTTTGTTTGTAGGAAGTCTCTCCTTCTTGTTTAAATACCTGTGAGAAGAAAGAACATCTTTAGAAGAACATAAAATATCTATTGCAGGTCATAGAATTATCTTCCTTTCTTCAATGTACAACTTAGGTTCTAAGGTAATAACTTTAAAAAGTATTACAATAAGTTTAAAAAACATGGAGAAAGGCAATGATATAGATATGTCAATGAAGTTTCCACATCTGTCCTTGTTCTATGATATTTGCTTTTTCCAGAACTCTGTTTCTCTTATTTTCTAATTGGAGGGTTTCAAAAGTTACAGTTTAGCACATGAAGGCAAATGCTGTAACATTTTGAATTTGTAAAAAATTATCATTGTGGTCATTAACAGATAATTATATCAAAATCTGTTTTCACACCATGCACAGATGCTTTACCTGAATTTTACAAAGGGATATATTTAGAAATAGTAAGAAATTATGCATATGTAGTGATCTGAATAAGATCCAGAAATGGAAACAAAATTATTAATATCATGACATTCTGCAAATGAGATCAGATTAGACTCTTAAAATACACTAAAAATGATTTGCTTCTCTCCCTTTGACAGTTTTTTTGATATGCAGAATATTTTGAGATAAATGTTCTTTATTCCCAATCTCATATCCTTATTGTGTTTGTGTGTTTGCTAAATTTATTTTGAAGAGTAATGTAACAGCCTAGCTTTGTATTTGAATTACTATTAAATAGAAGCTGTGGAATGTTTACAATCCCATCTCTAAAAGTGTTGCTTACCTTCGGTAAAAGTATATTGATAATAAAATTGCACTGAAGAAAAACAGACAGACAAGGATAGTAAATGCCAAGTATTCACTGCTTAAGGGTTTTATGACCGGATACAGATTTGAATGGCTACATCGCTCACCAATCCAGCCTTCCTTACACCTAAATGGAGACAGGAAAAAGTCAGCATTAGACAAACTGTTTTTTAGTATCAAAGAGATTGCAAGCTGAGACCACAGTCAACAATGAAGCCTATTCCAAAATATCCACCAAAGTACTACATTATAGTAACTCGCTTTCAATAGAGAATCCGAAGTACTGAACTTCTGGGAAAGGGAACAGACTTATGGGTGTTCTCAACAAATTATGATTCCTAAAATTCTTTTTAGAGTTTCTCAACCTTTCTCATTTCACACCAACCCTAGATGTTCCCAAACAGTACTTCCTGGCACCTTGGGTCACCCAACTCATTAATCATTCTGTTTATTAATTAGTCAAATATCCTATGTGGCTCTTGAAAATTCACTGATTCCAAAGCGCTGTAATCCAGTTTGGGAACTGCAGTTTCAAGCAATGCCAGAATAGTTAAAATGAAAGTAATACTTAAAATGTAGAGGTACCAGTAGTATTTAGCCTTTCTAATCTAGTGCCCTCAGAACATATTGGACTACAACTACTATCAATCCCCCTCTAGTGAAAACATATACATTCAAGCTATGGATGATAAAAGAGTTTTAATATCATTAATTTGAAAGATACCTGGTTGTGAAGGCAGTTTTCATATATATGCATTATGTACACATAAATGAAGAGCTGTTAATAGCCTTAATTGATGATTATGTGCCATCTAATTACTATAAACTCTTAATGACAACACAGATTTTCTCTAGAAAAGCCCTTATTTGATCTTTCAAACTTCTAATAGTATATTGATCGTTGCTGTAACTGAATCCATCCACCTTGTTGCATGATATTTTCTTTTCTTCCATTTTTCCTAGTAGTATAGACTTTTTCAGGTTTTGCTAGAACTTATTTGTTTGAAGTATGTCCATCTGAACTTTATCATTTGTGAAGATTGTGAAGATTGATTTGTTTGATTATCCATTTACCTGGATAATGCTTTACATGGTCTTCTACAGCAGCAATATTCTTTTATTTTGCTCCTTCAAAGAACAATTTTCTCTTCCACAGAGTGTCACAGGGAAACCACATTGCCTGTATTATTCTGATCTTTCTAAGTATGGATGTAGTCCAGTATCTGAACATCTTTCCCAAGGTCTAACTCCACCAAGTGTAGTCTGTGCCATATTTCTTTATTGCTTTACTCTGGATAACTGAGGGTAGAAGACAGAAGCTATCCACCACTTCAGTATCTTCATTATCAATTCTAAGGCTGGTTAAAGGACCTGTTGACATTATCTTGATCTTCTTTATCTTTAATCTTAATCCTAGTTTGTGTTCCTTGACTTTCATTACTAGAACTTACATGTCATTTGCATTTTCAACTGTCAGAATAGTTTTCAGTCTTTTTGTCCAATTTTAAAATAGTGCTCTTCTTCTTCCAAATCAGTCTCTTTCAAAAAAAAAAAAAAGCCAAGATGATGACAATTTAGCAGCTCCTAAAACAAGCTCTTCACATGTGACTCACTTCCCTGCCCTTGGCTGAGTCCTTACAGCATAAAATTATATCCAGAGGCAAGGAAAAAGAATCAGGTCCAGTCCCAGTAATGATTCTCAGGACCATATGTCTAATAAAGTTTTGGTCTTTTCAATAACCAGAAATATTATCTAATATAAGCAGCTGTAAGATTTTTTTTCTAAATGTTAGAATCCATGCACAAAGATAGTTTTTTCTCTCTCAACGAGCAAGATAGCAACAACAGAAATCCTAGTACTTCAAAACTAACCACATTTCTCTATTTTGTTGTGCTTTAAGAAGTTCTTTAAGAAGTGTTGAAAAAAGTCAGATTGAGCAGAGATCAGTTTTAGCAGAGAAAATATGTATGGACACTAAGAGTCAATGCCAATTCAATGACACATAATCAATCAAAAGTACTGACAGTTTTAAGAGTTTCTACACTTTCTATGCAATAATTTGTTCAAGCAGGGAGCAGAAAGACCAATAAGGAGCTAGAATGTGATCAAAACTTTCATTAATTTTGTTTCTGTTTCTGTTTAAAAACAAGCTTCTAAGCAGAAGTACAGAGGTAAGAAAAACAGTTCCTGAATTTCTGTATCTTGAAGGTAGAGGAACAGGAGCAGCAGTTTTTAAAAAAACTTTTAAAAGCTAAGCATGATTATCATTAGAATCGAATAGTATAGAATAGAAATCTTTATTGGCCAAGTGTGATTGGATACACAAGGAATTTGTCTTGATGCAAATGCCCTCAGTGTACATAAAAGAAAATATGCATTCATCAAGAATCATAAGATACAACACTTAATAATAGTCATAGGGTACAATAAGCAATCAAATCATACTAGGATGATCAATATTGATCGTAAGGATACAAGTGACAAAGTTACAGTCATACAGTCATAAGTAGGAGGCGATGGGTGATAAGGGGTGATGAGAAGATTAATAGTAATAGTAGTGCAGACTTCGTAAATAGTTGGACAGTGTTGAGGGAATTATTTGTTTAGCAGAGTGATGGCGTTCGGGGAAAAAACTGTTCTTGTGTCTAGTTGTTCTGGTGTGCAGTGTTCTATAGCATCATTTTGAGGGAAGGAGTTAAATCAATTTATGTCCAGGATGTGAGGGGTCTGTAAATATTTTCACAGCCCTCTTTTTGACTCATGCAGTATACAGGTCCTCAATTGCAGGCAGGTTGGTAGTAATTGTTTTTTCTGCACTCCTAATTATCCTCTGAAGTCTGTGTCTGTCTTGTTGGGTTGCAGAACCAAACCAGACAGTTATGAAGGTGCAGATGACAGACTCATCTATTTTTTATTTACTGTTATTACCACCATTTCCACCCTTTATTTCAGCATCTCTTTTACCTGCAGAAATATCGGTCCAAAGTCTCTGAGTATCTGCAGTCTCCATTGAAACAGTAACTTCGCCATTCTGGCTTGCATTCTGTCTCTCTTTCCACCTGAGTTATAGGTACAACCGTTCCTGTTTGAATGACAGTAAACACATGAATAAATAAAAGCTTACCTGCATTATCGTCTGTGAGGACCTAGGTTTCTTCAAGTATCAAAGACATGCAGGTAGGGTGACTCTACTGGCGTCTAGAAAACTATGGTGTCAACTATCCTGGGCAAGATGGATCCCTCCTTTACCTTGCCGTAATGCATTTTCGGTATGTTTACTTTGGTCTTCCTAATCTCTAGAGTCAATTTATTTTTCATGTTAAGGATAAAACTTTCTCTTCCTTAACATGGATTGGCAGAAGGCCAAGACCAGATGGGTGGGTAAAATCCAAAAAAGAAAAGGTAGATTTAAATATATATATGTGTTTTCTTAAGTTTTCGTGGGTACTTACATGTATGGTATTCAGCTTTGTTCGGGTATTTTCCCACGTCATTATAGTTGTGCTTTTAAAGTTGT